CTCCTGCCTCAGCTTCCCAAGTAGCTGAGATTACAGGCATGTGCCACCACACCCAGCTAATTTTGTATTTTTAGTAGGGACGGGGTTTCTCCATGTTGGTCAGGCTGGTCTTGAACTCCTGACCTCAGGTGATCTGCCCGCCTCAGCCTCCCAAAGTGTTGAGATTACAGGCGTGAGCCACTGCACCCAGCCTTGAAATCTGTACTATTCTTATTTATATTTCATGGCCTAAAATACCATAAAATGCTTAAACCAGCAGCATATATTTTAATCTATTAACATCTCCAATTCCATTTTAGGCAACAAATTCAAATTTAAGAACAAGATTTATTGTTTATGGATTGACATGAAGATCAAAAGCACACACAACTCCTAAATTCAACATTCTGAAAAAGCTCTCCATTATCTTTTATAATGCTCCTGTTGTCCAAGATTTGGATGTGGGCGAAGGACTACCTAGGTGCCGAGGCAAGAGACTGAAGGCACCAACTGTTTCAGTATAATAAAGAAAACAGTTAGAATAGTTAAAATACAAATTAGATATAGAGATGATTATGGACGATTATCAATCATTATTATAAACATTATTGACTATTAGCTTTTAATATTACTCTTTGTTGCATTACTAATATACCCCAGGAATAACCAGCAGGTATAGGGTCAGGTGCTGAAGGGACATTGTGAGAGGTGACCTAGAAGGCAAGAGGTGAGCCTCCTGTCATGCCCGCATAAGGGCCGCTTGAGGGCTCCTTGGTCAAGTGGTAAGGCCAGTGTCTGGGAAGGCACTTGTTACTTAGCAGACCGCAAAAGGGAGTGTCCTTTCTTTGGAGAAGTCAGGGAACACTCTGCTCCACCAGCTTTTTGTGGAAGGCCGGATATCATCCAGGCCTGCCCGAAGTCATCTGGAGGCCTAAACCTGTGGCGCTGTGCTTCAGTGGTCACGCTCCTCGTCCACTTTCATGCTCCTCCCATACTCCTGGTTCCTCTTTGAAGTTCGTAAGTAGATAGCGGTAGAAGAAATAGTGAAAGTCTTAAAGTCTTTGATCTTTCTTACAAGTGCAGAGAAGAAAACGCTGAGGTATGCTGCCTTCTCGCTAGGCTTCAGCTACCCCTATCTTGTAATCACGTGACTTGCTTCTCTTGTCAATCACTTAGAAGACTCACCCTCTTTACCCTGCCCAGTTGTCTTGTATGCAATAAAGATCAGCGAGTCCAGCCCTTCGGGGCCACTACCGGTCTCCGCATGTTGATGGTAGTGGTCCCCCAGGCCCAGCTGTTTTCTCTTTATCTCTTTGTCTTGTGTCTTTATTTATTACAATCTCTCGTCTCCGCACACGGGGAGAATACCCGCTAAGCTCCCTAGGGCTGGACCCCACAGTTAGACATATATCATAGTATCATGTCAATGCGGATCATGAGGTCAGGAGTTTGAGACCAGCCTGGCCAAGCTAGTGAAACCTCATCTCTACTAAAAATACAAAAAAAATTAGCCAGGCATGGTGGTGTGCCCCTGTAGTCCCAACTACTCGGGAAGCTGAGGCAGGAGAATCATTTGAACGTGGGAGGTGGAGGTTGCAATAAGCCAAGATTGCTCCACTGTACTCTAGCCTCGGCGACAAAGCCAGACTCCGTCTCAAGAGAAAAAAAAAAAAAAAGGCACAGTCTTCTGCATTCTCAGGTAAACAAGAATATAAGTATTAAACATGCATGTATTATATGTAATACATATTAAGTGTGGCCGGGTGTGGTGGCTCACGCCTGTAATCCCAGCACTTCGGGAGGCCGAGGCTGGTGGATCACGAGACCATCCTGGCTAACATGGTGAAACCCCATCTCTACTAAAAATAGAAAAAATTAGCTGGTGGCAGGCGCCTATAGTCCCAGCCACTTGGGAGACTGAGGCAGGAGAATCGCTTGAACCCGGGAGGTGGAGCTGCACTCCAGCCTGGGGGGCAGAGCGAGACTCCGTCTCCAAAAAAAAAAAAATTAAAAATATAGCAATAAGAAAAAAAAAAAAAAAACATTGGCCGGGTGCAGTAGCTCACACCTGTAATCCCAGCACTTTGGGAGGCCGAGACGGGTGGATCACGAGGTCAGGAGATCGAGACCATCCTGGCTAACACGGTGAAACCCTGTCTCTATTAAAAATACAAAAAATTAGCTGGGCGTGGTGGCAGGCGCCTGTAGTCCCAGCTACTCGGGAGGCTGAGGCAGGAGAATGGCGTGAACCCGGGAGGCGGAGCCTGCAGTGAGCCGAGATGGCGCCACTGCACTCCAGCCTGGGCCACGGAGCGAGACTCCGTCTCAAAAACAAAAAACAAACAAACAAACAAACAAAAAACCAGTAAGCTCCACGAAGATATGAGCTCTGTGATCCACTATGGCATCTCCAGTGCCAGACAGTATCCAGCAACTTACTCGGTACTAAAATGTATTAAACGACTGAATGAAATACTACTTTGCAATTTTGTCTGCCTTCTCTAACCAACAGAGGTATTTATGTCTGCGAAGGAAGACCTGTCTTGTTAAATTTTGTATCCCCAACAGCCCAGAAAATGTTGAAAGGGAAAAAATGGGGGGAAAAGCCCTTTTCTGGAACAAGTTAGAATAGGACCCACATACATTTTGTTACTAACAAAACGTCCAGCTTGTCTTTTTTCTTTGAAAACTGCATGGCCTTAAGAGGAGTCTATTCTAATTAGGAAAAAAGTCACCTTTTCAGAAGCAGGCACTTCCCACTCCATGCAAAGTGAAGCCAAGTTAGCAAAACCGCAAACACTTGGCTAATTCAAACACAAGCTAATTTATTATTATTGGCGCAAATTAGCCACTTTCTTTTGCTGCGCAGGTCAATGTCCACAACCATACTGACTCTGCCTGTAGGGCGAGTGTCTCACCAGTAGCTGGTGAGAAGCACAGCTCTTCTCAGCCAAAACCGAGAGATACTGGAACTTGTGCAGTGCAGTAATCCAAACCCCTCGAGTAGATACGCCCGCTTTAAAATCTGCATCTCGTAAGAAATGCCTTCAATTTTCCATATTAGGAGCTGAGAAAACAGGTCTCCTGAGCCCTTCAGGGACAAGTTCTTTGCCAAATACTACAACCACCTCCAACCACTCCACAACGCCTGAGCCCGAGGGTGGGCCACACACGACCCAGCGCTAAAGGGTTACAACCAAGCTGTCCGCCGCCTGCCTTGCCTTTAAAGAAGCCGCACACAAGCGGGCTGCCCCGGAGTTCAACTTCCGGCCACATAGTGACAGGATGTTTTCCTACTGGAGCTGAGCCGCGGGGGCGCGCCCCCCGGCCGCGCCCTCCTAGCCACGCCCTCCACGCCCGGCCTTCGGAGCGCGAGCTCGGGCGGGCACACGGAAGGGGCTGGGCCACGTGGGAGGCTGCTGAGTGGTTCGCCTTCGCCCCTCAGCGCGCAGTCAAGCGGAGGCAAGCTCAGAGCGCACGGAGAGCGCGGTAGCGCGCGCGCGCGCGCGTTCTTAGTGCCCTCCCCGGTGACGTGCCTGGCCGGGGCCGCGCCAGGGCGCTGTTGCTGCCAATACAGCTGTCATGGCGTCCGAGGCGCTGGCTGCGGAGAACTGGCCGCGGTCTCCATAGAGCTGGGGGCGGGCGGCCCGGTATGGAGAGCAGCCCCGAGAGCCTGCAGCCGCTAGAACACGGGGTGGCGGCCGGGCCAGCGTCAGGGACAGGTTCTTCGCAGGAAGGGCTACAAGAGACCAGGCTTGCCGCTGGTGATGGTCCTGGGGTATGGGCGGCGGAGAGCAGCGGCGGGAATGGGCTGGGGGCGGCGGCCGCCAGCAGGAGCCTCCCGGACTCGGCTTCTCCCGCGGGCTCTCCTGAGGTTCCCGGACCTTGCAGCTCCTCCCCGGGTTTGGACTTGAAGGATAGTGGTGTGGAGAGTCCTGCTGCCGCCGAGGCGCCTCTGAGAGGGCAGTACAAGGTGACCGCCTCCCCGGAGACAGCCGTGGCCGGAGTGGGTCATGAGTTGGGTCCCGCCGGAGACGCGGGAGACCGCCCGGATCTCGCCGACACCTGCCAAGCAGAGCTGACGGCCGCCGGCTCCGAAGAGCCCAGCAGCGCCGGCGGCCTCAGCAGCAGTTGCAGCGACCCGACCCCTCCTGGGGAATCGCCGAGCCTGGACTCTCTGGAGTCGTTCTCTAACCTGCATTCTTTTCCCAGTAGCTGCGAGTTCAATAGTGAGGAGGGAGCGGAGAACAGGGTCCCTGAGGAGGAGGAGGGCGCGGCGGTGTTGCCCGGGGCTGTTCCTCTGTGCAAGGGGGAGGAGGAGGAGGAGGAGACCGCTCAGGTGCTGGCGGCCTCCAAGGAACGCTTCCCGGGACAGTCTGTGTATCACATCAAGTGGATCCAGTGGAAGGAAGAGAACACACCCATAATCACCCAGAATGAGAACGGACCCTGCCCCTTGCTGGCCATCCTCAATGTTTTGCTCCTGGCCTGGAAGGTACATTCTGCAGCTTTCTACTTCCTACAGCTTTTGGGGTGGAGGAAAACGGGGTGAGGGAGCTGCTGCATGTCAGGTGATGACTTCCTTTCTTTCCTCATTCATCAGTCCCCTTCTTACATGAAATTCATTCCAAGACTTCCATGTTGAAAGAATATTCCCTTGTACATATATCGAAAAGAATTACCCTTAACCTCCGTTTTCTCTTGTAGTGTTGTTTCAACGTTCAATTGTGGTTGATACACTTAGAAACAAGAAGGACTTAGAGTATCTTTAATCTTATGATTATTTTAAACTATAATTTCCTATGTTTTCTTGCCGACTTTATCACATATGCAAAAAAGTGAAGAATTGGAGAAAGTAATCTTCAGAAGTTACCATCAATCCGTGATATCATGGACTAAGTTTTGATGGTTATGTTTAGTCTGATTTCCAACTAATGCCCCATTCGTGTGTAGATACTTAAGAGAATGGTGAGGGGAAAGATGTGGCTCTTTAGACAAATTCCATTTAAGGAAAAGCATTGGTCTGAGACCCAATTACCATAACTTCTTGGTTTTCAAAGATTGTTTTCATTTTATGCATGATTTTTACTTGCCTCGTTTCTTTGGCTCTCAAATGGTTTGGCATTATTACCAGTAACCATGCATCCGAATGTGTTAAAGGAGCTAAAACTCTTAAAAACTACAGTAAGAAAAGATATATCTAAGGTGAAGGAGCAAAAAAAGGAAGGACCCTTAAAAATAGGTATGATGAGGACTCAGAGAGAGTTACCTGTAAAATGAAGTGTCTTATTTAAGCTTGCAGTGTTAGGGTGCTAAGAAGATGCATCTCACAGCACCTATTTTATTTTCAAATTGGTAATTATATTTATAGATGCAATGTTTCCTAGAAAAAAAAATAACCCAAACTGGGTGTGGTGGTGTGCGCCTGTAATCTCAGCTACTCTGTAAGCTCAACTACGCTGGAGGCTGAGACAAGACAATCGCTTGAGCCCAGAAGTTTGAGACTAGCCTGGGCAATATAGTGAGACCCTATATTAAAAGAAAAAGAAAAGAAAAAAATAACCTGGATTCTTCTGAACAGTTAGGAAGAAAATCACGTAAAGGGAATAGTGTTTATCAAACATGCCTTTATTTTCCTGTCACTAGCAAGGGCTGATACAAAAGAAATAAAATTAGAAACCTTGCCATTGTCTGGTGCATAATGGCACTGAGATGTTTTGAGTGAAGACAGTACCGGCCCTTAAAAGGCTGTCAAGCTGTTTGAGGTGGCATCATTGACTTACTTGAAACTGTTTAAGAACAAGAAATAGTAAGTTATATGAGACAAGTGGTAGGTAAATTGTGGTAAATCTGTGGAAATGCATTTGATATTCAGAAAGGGGAAATTTTCATTTGGTATGGCATAGTCCTAGAAAGCTTCATGGGATTTATGGATCTTGAACCAATCTTTTTTTTTTCTTTCTTTTTTAAAAAGACACCACCATTAGAGCAATTTAACAGATCTTTTAAGGAAGAGAATTTAGAATAACAGGGAAATGGAATTCCCAGGGGAGAGAAGAGTATAAACCAAAGGAATGAAAATAGAATGGATATTGTGTGTTTATATGTTTATTAAATGACAGAGGTGGTAAGTTAATGTTGGAGAATAATGAAAAATAAGGTTGAAAAGGTAAAGAAGAGCCACTTGATAGAGGCTCTCAACTGGGGAGTTAGACTTGCTCTAATGGGCCAGAGTCCCTAATGTTTTTTGTAGGAAGGAATAGCTATTACTTTCCTGTAGTCCTTTTTCTGATATAGTACTGCAGAAATTCAGAGGAAAGGGCAAGTACTGTGGTCTGGAGTATTTGGGGATAGATGCATATTAAACTGACTCATTCAATTCAGACAGATTCAAGTGAATGATCAAATATTTGGGTTCCCACTATGTGTGAGGTACTAGAAATGCAAAGATGAGGCCAGGCGCAGTGGCTCATACCTGTACTCCTAGCACTTTGGAAGGCCGAGGCAGGTGGATCACGTAAGGTCAGGAGTTCGAGATCACCCTTGCCAACATAGTGAAACCCCATCTCTACTAAAAATACAAAAAAATTAGACGGGCATGGTGGTGGGCACCTGTAATCCCAGCTACTTGGGAAGTCGAGGCAGGAGAACTGCTTGAACTCAGGAGGTGGAGGTTGCAGTGAGCCGAGATCAAGCCACTGCACTCCAGCCTGGGCAACAAGAGCGAAACCCCATCCCCAAAAAAGAAAAAAAAGGAAATGCAAAGATGAGTATGATGCAAATCTGCCTTCACATAGCTATCTAGTGGGATGACAGACATATAAACAATAATTACAGTGCAATGTGAGAAGCTCTAATATGCTATGGAAGCCCAGAGAAAAGGGTAATTGGGGAGGGGATTATCAAGGGAAGACTTCATAGAAGAGATAACCTGTGAACTAGATCCAAAGGATGAGTGAGAGAAGACCTTCTGGGCAAAGAGAATAGTGTATTCAAAGATACTGAAGCAGAAAAGGATTTCTTCTACTTGGGACCTTCAACCTGGGTTGAATTGTGCAGCATAGGAGGTAAAGGAAATGGTGGTAATAGCAGGAAATAAAATTGATAGGTTTTGTCAGATTATGAATCAGCAAGCATGCTAATGAATTTGGAGATTATTTTGTAAATCTGTGGTTATCAGTGTTTTTTTTTTCCTCCAGCCTATTGATGCACACAAAAACCAGTCATAAGTAATCATTGATGATTGATAAAGAGATGGATGAGAGAAGCAAAGTAGAGCAGTATTCTCAAAGTGAGCCAGGTACTAGAAGTCAAAACTATTTTTATAATAATACTAAGAAGTTATTTGCCTTTTTCTTTTTTTATTTTTTTTTTGAGACGGAGTCTTGCTCTGTCACCCAGGCTGGAGTGCAGTGGCCAGATCTCAGCTCACTGCAAGCTCTGCCTCCCGGGTTCACGCCATTCTCCTGCCTCAGCCTCCCGAGTAGCTGGGAC